CTGATAGTGGACATTTAAATTGCTTCTCTTTGTTTATTTATTTTTTAAGATTTTATTTATTTATTTGACAGAGAGAACACAAGGAGGGGAACAGCAGAGGGAGCTGCAGAGAGAGAGAGGGAGAAGCAGGCTCCCAAGGCACATCGGGCTCCCTGCTTGGTGGGAAGCCTGCTTCTCCCTCTCCAACTCCCCCTGCTTTGTGTTCCCTCTCTCTCTCTCTGTCAAATAAATAAATAAAATCTTTAAAAATTTTTAAAAAAATAAGTAAATAAACTGCTTCTCTTTATAAATAAGATTGTAATGTGCATCCTAGGTGTATGAATTACTAACATCCCTGAGTCTTTCCTCAGGACGGATTCCTAGGAATAGGATCAGTCCCTCAAAGGGATGTCAATCCACCTACTTCTCAACTGAAGAGAAGTTTTGTTGAATTCTCAGGAGTTTGGTTAAATTCCAGGTTTTGTTTCATTACCAGGAGTCCACAGAGGACCAGCCTCCGTTGGGCCTTTGCCAGTGTGGGGCCCCACATGTGTAATGAATGAAGGGACTAATTCTGACTCTATGCCATATTCCATCCCTAACCAAAACAGCCTGCTCTGTAGCGAAATTGTTGATATACGAGTGGATATTTTTATATCCACTTTGGTATATAATGGATATTTTAGTTTAAATAGTTTCTTCTCATAAGTGGATAGGCATTGTTTATATCTTTTTTTTTTTTTTAATGGATCCATTCATATTCTCAGTAAACTTTTCCACACTGCAGTTGGTTTCCCCTGGGCCTGGGCCTGCTCTTTCCTCTGCCTGCAGGGCCTGTCCTGTAGCTGTCACAGCTGCCCCTCCCCTCCCCCACGGGAGAGAGCCACCTGCGGACTCGGGGCCGTAGGTCACTATGACGGTGCTCTGCTCGGTGTCTTCCGTGGCCCTCCTCACCCTTCCAGCTAGCACGTTTGCTGTTCGTCTCCCCCAGTAGCATGTAAGCTCCAGGAGGGCCCTGATCTTGGCAGCCTGTTCAATTCTGTGTTTCCAGCCCTTACAACAAGACCTGCCACAAACAAAGCCAGGACATATTTGTTTAATCAACATACAAGCAGCGAACGGTTCTGTGGTGTTTTCACTGCTTATTGGCAGAGTGATTTCCACTGATGGATCGGTGGTAAGCTTGAGTCTACTCCCGGTCCATGCTTATGTAAATTTCTAAGGAAGTTATTTTAACTCTGTGGACACAGTAATTTTGGAAGAATGTTAATGATGACGGGAAAATAACTGAAGAACATTTAAGCCAAGGTTCTCATCCTGTATCCCTAGGTCTCTGGTCTGGATTGATCATCTGTGTTTTCTTTCAAGCCCTTTTCTATTTGGTGCTCATCTGGAGGACAAACTGGAAGAGAGTTGCAGAGCAGGTAACAGCGCGTCCTTCTGGAAGCGTGGCTCTTTCTTGGCCCCGTAGCTGTAAGGAATCTTCGAGGGTCAAAATGCTAAGAATGCCACTGGCAGCATGACTTGCTTCGATTCATGGAAAAGCGTCTAATATGAGAGTTAGGGGGCAGAAGGACATCATGTTTCAGCGCGTTTTCTTCCTCGTACAGTTCAGTGTCTACTCACAAGGGCTTAACAATTATACTGATTTATCTGTTTTTAGGCCTCTTTTTAGAAACATTTTTGGTCCATGTTTTCCTAAAAAGCAGTCTGCTAAGTATCTATGATCAGTGAGGAGTGCTTGGGGGCAGAACCATAACCTACGGGTGGAGGAACGGGATCCTGACTGTGTGGGCATCTCTCTGTGTGAATTGTGAGCTGTGTTTATTTGTCGAAATGAGATGGATGGGAGGTTGGAGTAGGGGACGTGTTACTGATGGGGAGGGGGATGAGTTTAGTGCACAAAGCATCCCTGCTTCAGTTTTGTCCCCTCCACCCTTCCAGGTCTCACATGCCTTTGGTTTTCCTAATTGTGTTGTATGGTGTCTTTCCTATCTTAGTGTGATCTATGGAGGGAGTGAATTGTACAGGACATTCAGTTGGGCCATACATAAACCATCCTTTATATGATAACACCATTTGTCTTTAGACTTTATTCCTTATATCAGTGCTTAGAAACACTGAAATGCACAGTGTAAGAAAAATAATGTTAAATTTGCAACTATAGGTACAAGTTGCTTTTTTTTTTTTACGTTATTATGGTGATCTGAGCACTGGGGAGAATAGTGGTTGTCCAGTGTTATGTTCTATGGTCATTGGCCAGAGAGGACTGTGCTAGATGTTAGAGCGCTTTAGGGGTGGTTTCATCAGTAGCTCAGGTGAAATTTTAACAAGAGAATACTCGCCTAACTTACACTTCATTTACTTCTGTGACACTTATTCTCAGGCACAGGTCCGAGCTGGGCTGAAGGGGATCAAAGAGACCACACCATCACCAGCAGGTAACAGACAACACGGTCTAGGGCCCTTGATCTGCCTCATGAGGCCAAAACTTAATGTAGCCAGAGTTACTTAGTTTATGAGATCCTGCTCTCTTGCATAATAAATCTTGTCTCTGCTTAATAATTGGGCGACCAACTCTGGGTTCTCCTGTGAAATGTTCTTAATGTAATTTCACATATACCAATCAGTAATTGATGGTCATTGTCTACAGCGTATTCTTATGTAACTTTCCATAATATCCCTTTGTTGAACCCTGTACATAAGTGTATATACTCCACTGTTGTCTGCAATCAGATCTACCCGTCTTGGAGAAAGAAGTAACCGATGGAGTGGTTTTGCCTGATATCATCACACCCGAGAGCCAGACCCTCCAACTAATGGTACTAGAAGAAAGCAACCAGTATGCTGTGTCCACCATCGGGGGTGTTTTGACAGTGAGCCAGTTGATTTTCTATCGTGGAATAGCTCTAGCTGTTGCCATTGTTACTCTTTTAGCAGGCATTTTAATAAGGGTTTTTCAATGACCGTGGCTAAAATAGAAGGATTATCACCAGCCCACAAACTAGACGGGATCATTATTATTGATCTGTGAAGTGTGGGAGGTGACCTGGTCACATGGACAGTGGTGTCTCGCTCCCCGCTGTGGGTGGAAAGGATATCAATGATGTCTTCTTAGTTATCCCGAGAGTCTGCACTATCCTCATGGAGATCAAGAAAGGAGGTAGACTTCTGAGTTTCTCCCAAACGTTAATTCTATCATGGTTTGTAAATCTGTCAATTTGATTTTCCCTGCTGGAAGTGTTCTGCAGTCTTATGTTGAGTATCTTCCCTCTTGCAGGAAAGTTCATTGCCCTCTAAAACTGGTTGCTGATCCAGCTTTGTTTGTATTTCTCTGTTAATGTATTTACTCTTATCAGTGGGTGTGTATTAAGTGCCTGTTGAAGTCTTATCTCAGGTATTGTATAAGCTTTTATAAAATAAACACCTTAAAATTGAAAATGCGTGCTAATAATATTTGAGGCTATAAAATCTATCGAAATGCTAACTTTTAGTTTGGGGCCTTTGAACACATTTTTGTGGCAACTTACATATTAAAAATCCAATCTGTGTTCTCTTCTGCCGCTCAGCTCCCCAAATGCTGCCCCTCCCAGCAGATTTTTAAAGCCTTTATGGGGAGTTTGATCAACCCAAATAGAAAATACTAAAAATAAGTACTAAAATTGGGGATTCCCTCCACAAAGCCCACCAAGTGACCAGTGTCCCCATTGGCTTTTCATCTCTTTCTCTGAAATGGGAACAAGGAGCCTAGGATTACCAGACAGCTGTGAAAACCAGTTATACAAGAAAGCAACTGAAAAGAAACTGGGACTTCACAGGGAAAGGAAAAGGATAACCCCAAATATTGCAACCATGATCTAGAACAGGATGCTCTAGAATAAAACATGCAGGAAAACTTTTGAGCTTAAATTCACATAACATAAAATTAATCAGTTAAAGTGTATAATTCAGTGGCATTTTGTACATCTAGTACACTTGTGATTTGCTGGGTTTTTTAACTATTATACATCTGAGTGGGTATGAAGTGTCTCACTGTGGTGTTAATTTCCATTTCTTTTCCTTTTTTTTTTTGTAAAGGTTTTATTTATTTGAGAGAGAGCACAAGCAGGGGGAAGGACAAAGGGAGAGGGAGAGGCAGACTCCCTGCTGAGCAGGAAGCCAGCCGTGGGGCTCAATCCCAGGACCCTGGGATCATGACCTGAACCAAAGACAGTTACATTACTGAGCCACCGCCACCCAGGCACCCAGAAAGTTTCTAATTTTGATGAAGCCCAGTTCATCTGTTTTTTCTTTTGTTGCTTCTGCTTTTGTCATCATATCTTAGGAATCCGTTGCCACATGATAAGAAAAAAAATTTTAAGTACTCTTGGAATCTAAAAAGTATTATGGAAGAATTTAAAAACAAAAGAGAAGACTGTGTTTCCAGTGTGACATGTCAGGAGGTTGGAGGTCATCAAGAATTCTCAATCAGGAATTCTAGAACTTATTTTTACTCTGTCACCTGTGACACCAAATGTGTGTGGTTTTTCTACACCAACAACCAGTTCTCCAAATCTCCCAACACCAACTAGAGGTCTGATGATTCCATTTAATTCTGACACTAAGTACCCAGAGTCCGTGTCAGACCCCATAAGTTAAGGGCTCGGACCCACGAGACTGACCCCCCAACTTCAGAAGCCAATTGCAAGTCCAGGCCAACCAAACTTTTTCTGACTGACCAGCTGTCAATTGGGGGTTTTCATGGCCCACTTCTTGGATTTGATGATTTGCTAGAACAGCTCACAGGACTCAGGAGAATGCTTTACATATGGCTACTGTTTGAACAGGTAAATGGAAGAGATGCATAGGGGATTAAGGTACAGGGGTGATGGTGCTCAGACGTTTCCAGACCCTTTCTGGGCATGTCACCCTCCCAGCACCTCAATGTGCTCACCAATCCAGAAGTTCTACAAATCCTGTTGCTCAGAGGTTTTTATGAAGGTTCCGTTACAGAGGTGTGGTTGATTAAATCACTGGCCATTGGTGATTGGACGCATCTCCAACCACTCTCCCCTTGCTGGAGGTTGGGGGGTGGGACTGCAGGTCCTAACCCTCTGATCATACGTTGGTCTTTCTGTTGACCATTCGCCATCCTGAAGTTATCTAGGGGCCCACCAAGAATAAATTTATTAGCATAAGCTCAGATACGGTTAAAAGGGACTCATCATGAATAACAAAAGATGCTCCTCTCACCCCTATCACTCAGGAGATTCCAAGGGATTTAGAAGCTCTTGTACCAGAAACTGTGGACACAGATATCACAATAACAAAAGGAGAATAGCTGAACAATCTGAGTATCAGCCACTCTTGTTAGCTCCATCAGAGAATTGAGGTCACGAGGATAACTTCTTCCCCGCAAATTGAAGAGACTGGCAGATACAGCTTACCCAAGTGGAGGCAGCAGGAGCTGGTAACAGATAGGAAAACTTAAACTGTAATTGACAGATTACTGGAGGCTTAATGCAGACAAGCTTACGAGTTAAAAATTTCAAGTGGGGGGCGCCTGGGTGGCTCAGATGGTTAAGCGTCTGCCTTCGGCTCAGGTCATGATCCCAGGGTCCTGGGATCAAGCCCCACATCGGGCTCCTGGCTCAGCGGGGAGTCTGCTTCTCCCTCTTCCTCTGCTTCTCCCACTGCTCATGCTCTCTCTCTATATATATCTCTGTGTCTCAAATGAATAAATAAAATCTTAAAAAAAAAAAATTTCAAGGGGGTTTCATCTTAGGTGGGCCCCAGCAGGTTCTCAGGGTGTAGATCAGAGAAAAATCCTTTCATGCTTCTATAGGAGGTAAGGGAAATGGAACCATTTAAGAATATGCCCAGAGCATTCTGTGCTATTTAACCAAAGCTTACCATCAAGGGAAACTATTTTACCAGAGGCCAACTACCTTGGGTTTTATCAGAACCTAACTTGGTGGGAGGGAAATACTAGACTCCAGCCCCACCAGCCTTCCACAAGGAGAAGTGAAATACCCATCTCCACCCTCTCTACCCTTCTCTCATCCTAGGGGATGGGTGAAATGGAGACTCATCCAGTAAGAGTATGAAGCAAACAGCCCAGAGACATGGGCTCTTTAAAAGACTGAGACCTTATCATTGAACTGTAGAACACTTCCCTCCCCCACACCTTACCATCACATCAGTAGAGCTCCTGTATCCTACCAAGAGATAACAGTCAAAAGAACGACATGTCTCAAACCTCACTTAACTCTCTAGGAAAGCCCAAAGACAAGTAAGGAGAGACAAAATCAACAGACACCAGGGGAAATTTTTGCCCCTGGCAGCTACAGTTGCAAAAACAATACACATAGCTTATTTCCCAGGCAGATAAACCTAAATCCTCACATCAGAAACCTATTGACCTCAGTTCCTTTTACCCAGTTCATCAAGCCTCACTTTCAACAGGTAATTGCAAGGCACGCTTCTTAAAGGCAAAACAGTTTGAAGAGACAGAGCAAGCATCAGACCAGACTCAGATATGGAAGAGATTTTGGAAATTACCAGACTGGAAATTTTAAATAACTAGGATTAATATGCTAAGGGTCTAATGGAAAAAGTGGACAACATGCAAGAACAGGTGGGTAATGTAAATTAGAGAGAAATTCTAAGAAAGTATCAAGAGGAAAAGTTAGAAATAGGAAACAGTGTAACAGAAAAAAACAAAAAAAAGCCTTTTGTGGGCTTTTTAATAGACTAGACATGACCAAGGAAAGAATCAGTGAGTTTTTAGAAATATCAATAAAAACTTCCTGTCTTAGTCTGTTCAGGGGGCTATAGTGAAATACCCGTAGACCAAGTAGCTTATAAGCAACAGAAATTTACTGCTCACAGTCCTGGAGGCTGGGAAGTCCAAGGTCAAGATGCAAGCATGGTCTCATCCTGTTGAGGGTCCTCTTCCTGGTTCATAGCCAGTGCCTTCTCACTGTGTCCTCACGTGGTGGAAGGGACAAAGGATTCCTCTGGGGCCTCTTTTAGAACTCTGATCCCAACCATTCTCTTCCCAAAGGCCCTACTTCCTAATCCCATCACCCTTGGGAATTAGAACTAAACATGAATGGGGGGTGGGGCTTAAATATTCAGATATAACAATTCCCAAATGAAATGCAAAGAGAAAAAGAATGGGGGAAAAAAGAACATCCAAGGACTGTGGGACAATTAGAAAAGGTGTAACATGCAGTTAATGGGAGTATCAGGAGAAAAAGAGAAAGAAACAGAAGACAAAGTTAATGACTGAGAATTTTCCAAAATAATGACAAACACCAAACCACAGATCCAACTTAAAGAATACCAAGTAAGATAAATACCCAAAACTCTACACCTAAGTATATTGTATTTAAGCTGCAGAAAACTGAAGAGAAAATCTTGAAAAGAAGCCAGAGGGGGAAAACACTACCCATTATAGAGCAAGCAGAAGAATTATATCAGACTTCTCTGCAGAAACTATGCAAGCAAGAAGAGAATGGAGTGGAATATTTAAGGTATTGAAAGTAAAAAACCATCAACCTAGAAATCTGTATCTAGGGAAATCATCCTTCAAGGTGAAAAGGAAATAAAGACTTTCTCAGACAAATAAAAATTGAGGAAATTTTTCATCAGTACACGTGCCTTGCAAGAAATGTTAGAGGTTCTTAAGAGAGAAGAAATATGATATACATCAGAAACTTGTATATACATAAAGAACAGAACAGTCTTAGAAAAGAAATGAAGGTAATATTTTTTTCATATTCTTAATCTAATGGAGAAAAAGTTTGTTGAAAATAATAACAACAATGTATTTGGCTATTATATCTTATGGATAACTAAAATGAGTGACAGTAGTGTTACAAGGGTTGGGAGGGAGGTATTGGGAATACTCTGTTATAAGGCATTTGCACTACCCATGAAGTGTTATTTTAAAGAAGAATTAGAGGGGCACCTGGGTGGCTCATTTGGCTGCGTGTCCCAACTCTTGATTTCGGCTCAGGTCCTGATCTCGGGGTTGTGAGATCAAGCCCTGTGCGGGCGAGGAGCCTGCTTAAGGTTTTCTCTCTCCCTCTCCCTCTGCCCCCCCACCCCACCTAAAAAGAAAAAAAGAGGAATTAGATTCATTGGAAATGTATGTTGCAAACCCTAGGGTAACCACTAAAAACTTTTAAGGAAAAATATAATCGATATGCTAGCAGAGGAGAGAAAATTGAATCATAAAATGCTCAATTAAAACCAGGGAAGGCAGAAAGAAAGTGAAAGAGAAAAATGAAAGCACAAGGGCAGCACGTAGAAAAGTAACAGGATAATTAATCCCACTATATCAGTATTCATACACTGACTTTAAAAGTAAGCAAACAAACAATAAACTAGGAATAGAAGGGCATGACCTCAACATGATAAAAGCCTTCTATGAAAAATTCACAACCAAAGTCAAGAGTGAAAGACTCAAAGCTTTTCCCCTAAGATCAGGGACAGGACAAGGATGCACACTTTCACCAATTCTACTCAGCACAGTACTACAAGGCCTAGCCAAAGCATTAGGCAAGAAAAAGAAATAAGGTACCTAAACTGCAGAGGAAGAAGTAAAATTATCTACCTTCATTAATGATATGATCTTAAAAGTAGAAAACCTGAGATTGATGAAACTGTTAGACCTAATAAATTCAGCAAAGTTGAAGGATACAAATAAACACCTGTAATCAGTCGTATCTCTATCTATACGTTAGCAATGAACAGTCCAAAAAGGAAAGTAGGAAAACAATCCCATTATATGATCGCATCAAAAAGGATAAAATATTTAGGAGTAAATTAACCAAGGAGGCAAAAAATCTACACTGAAGACTATAAAACGTTGCTGAAAGATACTAAAGAAGACAAGTAAATAGAAAAGACATCCTGTGTTCACGGACTGGAAAACTTAATATTGTTAAGATGATGATAGTACCGAAAGTGATCTACAGATACAATGTAGTCCCTATCAAAAGCCCAAAGACATTTTGCAAAAATAGAAAAAGCCATAAAAAAATTCACATGGACTCTCAAGGGACTCAAACAGCCCATACATCTTGAAAAAGAACAAAGTTGGAAGTCTCACACTTCCTGATTTCAAAACTTACTACAAAGATAGAGTAAGCAAAACCATGTGGTACTGGCATAAAGACAGACATATAGACCAGTGGATAGAACTGAGACCCCCAAGTAAACCCTTGCTTATATATATGGTCAAATGATTTTCAGCAAGACTGCCAAGACTGTTCAGTGGGGAAAAGGACAGTCTTTTGAATGAATGGTGCTGGAAAGATCAGAAATCTGCATGAAAAAGAATGAAGATGGACTTTTACCTAACACCATATACAAAATTAATTCAAAATGGGCAAAAATAAAACCCTAATTATAAGAGCTAAAACTGAAACAACAACAACAACAATATAGGGGAAAATCTTTATTTTTTTTTTAAGATTTTATTTATTTGACAGAGAGACGCAAGTGAGAGAGGGAACATAGGGGGAGTGGGAGAGGAAGAAGCAGGTTTCCCGCTGAGCAGGAAGCCCGATGCAGGGCTCGATCCCAGGACTCTGGGATCATGAGCCAAAGGCAGATGCTTAACGACTGAGCCACCCAGGTGCCCCAGGGAAAATCTTTATGACACTGGATTAGGCAATGATTTCTTGGGTATGATACCAAAGGAATAAGCAACAAAAGAAAAGATAGATGGACTGGGTTTCATCAAAATTAAATACTCTTGTGCATGAAAAGATAGTTTCAAGAGTATGAAAAGGCTACCCACTGAATGGAAGGAGATACTTGTAAATCCTATATATGAAGGGGATTAATATCCAGAATATATGAAGAACTTCTACAGATCAACAGCAACAAAAAACAAATGGCCCAATTCAAAAACAGAAGACTTGAATAGACATTTTTCCATGAAAGATAAATAGCCAATCAACACAAGAGAACATTATTTACATTACTAGTCATTAGGAAAAGGCATATTAAAACGACAAGACTTCACTTTACACCAATTACAATGGCCATTATAAAAATAACAGAAAAAAGTGCTGGCAAGGATGTAGACAGAATGGAAATCTTGTGCATTGCTGAAAGGAATGTAAAATAGCCACTGTGGCAGATAGTATGTGTGGTCTTATCAACGTAATATAATATAATATAATATAATATAATATAATATAATATAATATAATATATGGTAATATAAATTACCATATGATGCAGCAATTCCACTTCCGGTTATATACCCAAAAAGAACTGAAAGCAGGGAATCAAACAGATATTTGTACACCAATGTTCATAGCAGCATTATTTACAATAGCCAAGGTGGAAGAGACCCAAACGTCTATCAACAGGTAAATGGATAAACAAAATGTTGTATATACATACAATGGAATATTATTCAGGCTTAATAAGGAATGAAATTCT